CCAGAGGGTTTTCGCAACTGTAATGATCCACGGCATTTGGATTCGACTCCCCACAGTGACGGACATATTGCATGATGTCCAAAAGATTTATTCTACAGTCCCATGCTAGATCTGAGTAAAGATAACCGTTAATAAGCTTATATGCCAAAATAAAGGGCTGATGAATTGTTACCAAGAAGGACTTAGCGTTTGTAGTAGTTCTAGCTGTATCGGTCAGCGGTGGAATAGTCTTCAGGGACGAATAAACAATAGAAACGGAGACGGATATAATCCGAAAATCTGCAAGAGTCAGCTGAGTCCTGTTGGAGATTCCGAGTGTGATGGTATTGACCAGTCAAAGTTAATCCTTAGTTTGATAGGCTGCAGGGTCGTCATATAGCTCGGATCTCGAAAAATTTTTAAATCCCCTGGAGATCAGAAATGGAGGTCGAATGCGAAAGGCGCACCCCTATGTGAATATACCAGAGAATTACCTTCTTAGGCGGAACCCTATCAGCAGTGAGTCCGCGAGGATGAGTTCACAACAAAAAGCACAGATCACTTTACACTGGAAAACTGACGTCGGAACCGAACTACTATTTGCGATGTCAGAGTCTATCAACTTCCATCTTCTAATATTTTTCAATTGCCTGTTAAGTTTTTCTATGAAATATTCTAATTTTCAGTGCAAAAAGTTGTGTAATGTGCTTAAATAGTCGCAAAAATACCAAAGCAAATGCTTACGTTTAAATAGGCTAAGGTCACTTTCTTTGCAAATAAGACTTTAAATAGACTACCACGCTTGCGCGAATTCGGATTTCCCTGCCACAATGGTAAGGCACGTTAAATGAAAAATTACTTCTTAGAGCTTCGAAGAAGTTGCCCAGAAGGTCCGCAATCTCGCCAAAACCCCATCCGAGAAGGATGCGCTTGAATTGTACGGCCTGTACAAACAAGCTACAGTTGGCGACTGCAATACAGGTAAGATTCGCAACTCATTTGAATTGATTTGTTTCAGCTCAGCCCGGCGCAATACACGTTGAGGCGAAAAAGAAGTGGGACGCCTGGAATGGTCGTAAGGGTATGAGCAAAGACGACGCCAAGACAGAATACGTCAAAGTTGGCAATGAAGCCGTCACAAAATATGGCGTGAAATAATTCACCTCAATTGTAAATCATGTATTGTTTAATAAATTTGATACGGTACAATCAAAGTATTTTAAATTCTTTAAATTATATATCTTTGTGGGCTTAGGGGTTGGCTGATAAAACAAGCCCGCGAGCGTGATCGACTAGTCGATTGTAGAATTGGTTCGATTAAGGAACTAGCAATAAAACTACACAAACGACTAAGAAAGGACAGGTTTATGCTATTTATAATTTTGTTACTATGCTCCATTGATGGGCGCCATTTATATGTAACTTTTGATATCCTCGACCATGACGACAACACACCGATTCTCAGCCCAAATAGAAGGGTGTTTGATCAAAAGCTATTATGTGACAACAAGTTTCCAGCCAGTATTTTGTCCCTTCGTCAGCTAGGAACGGTAAATCTGTCAAACACAATCTGTCATTAGTGTCATCTTTGCCAATACAAGCGAACATCCGTGCCCCAGGAAG